TAGATGTCTCGTTGAGTTTAGTGGATGCGCAACCCAAAAGCTCTCTCCCCACATATATAACAGAATCTTATGACTTTTTTTTCGGATATTCGGATATTCGGATATTTCAAATGATTTTTTTATGACGGGAGAAAAGGAATAAAAAACATATTGTATATGTTATATATGTTTATTTTTAAACAAATTGAATACATTTTGACTTAAGCATGAAATTTTTTTATTCATATTTTTTTCTTACACACTAAAAACTAAAGTTAATAGCTCGCAATCAACGAATTGACGTCTATCGAAAATATCACAATCGCGTATTGCGTTTGATACTTCCTCGGGATCGGTTACAACAGACGCGACGTTGGAGAATCGCGTACACTTGGCATCGATCGTATCGACGAATTTGATGAGTCGATCGAATATCACATCGATACATTCGTCTAGATCAAACATTCGACGTAAGGTCGATTCGATCATAGATTCAAAACGTAGTGTAACGTCGTTCATCAGGCAAACTCTGATGGTTAACAGACACTTATAAAATTGTCTTTGTAATCGTTTCGCAGCAATTTATAGATGTTCCATCGCTGCTCGTAGTCCCTTCTACGTTTCGAGAGAGAGTATCAGTTCCTATTCCCGATGATCTTCCAGAGCGATCTCCACGTAGCTCGGTGGATTGGAATCAACTAACGTTGATTCCAATTCCCAAAAATATAGCCTGTTAATTAATTATAGCCTGTGGTCGTCAGAGTGTAACGTCTGCTCAGTAGGCGCATCGCGCGACGCTCCACTGAAATGCTATATAATGGAAATTAAATATATAATATTAAATATATAATAATATTGGAAAAAAAACAGAAAAAATAAAATGCAGTTGAAACTTACGCGTTACCTTCCTTCTTTATTTCGCCATCGTAGGGTGCGTTGCTTCCTTTGGCGGAGTATATTGCGTGTTGATCGTTCGTACAAATGAATGATGGAGAAGCGAAGTACTTTTCGTGTAGGTCGTTCGATGGAGGTCTGATCCAGGATGGATCCTGATGGAGGAGTGATGCTAATTTCAAGACGAGAGTCACGAGAGAGTCAGAGAGGGATGCCACACACAACGAGAAAACATGTCCATGAAAGTTCGGAAGTTCGGCCGGTGTCGGGTAATAGAGGCTAGCAAACCTAGTCCTGACTCTTTCGCTTTTTATTCTCACAACTAGCCTGTTCGTTCGGCGATTCTGACTTCTAACCATCGAAACGATCGCACTTTACGATATAGGCTACGTTTGCTTTAGCGCTTACAGCTATAAGCATTATATCAGTAACATTGACAT